ACGTAAGGCATGTATTTTATATTCAGTTCCACTCATTTGTGATATTTTCTATTTCATTTTCCTTTGAATGTGACTATAAAGTTTTGCAGGTACCACACACAACTTTTCTTCTCACGCATGCGTGCTTCTTGTTTTACCACGTTTCATCAAATATGACACTTTGTAGGCTTCAACATTCTATTGATAACTTGCCAGAAAAGACACAATGGCCTTTTAGGGTGCCTGGATTCTATCTTTTTTCATATTTTATAGCATATTTTGAGACCTTTGCTATTTCAAACGTAAGTAGTGAAGATATTGTGATCAAAAGAATTCTTTATATCCATGTGCCATTATCGATAATATGTTCGTTTGAGACAATTTCAGCAAATGACTTGCATAATATGAGGCTTATCTTTTGTTTTGGTCTTGTGCAGTTCCCCTATTACGAGTTTGTGGACCGGGCTTCCATGTATAAAGTTGGATCCTTGTTTTATGCAATTTATTTTAGAGAAAATTACCTAAACCCAGGGGTTTAAGATTTAATTATTAAAAATCAGGTGATTAAGAAATTTTTACAAAAATCAGACGTTAAATCCCAACACCCCCCAATTCATTTCTCTCTCTCTTCTCCCTCTACCCCCATTATCGCCGCCTGCAACCCAGACCCCCTCACCCCCACCACCGGTGAAGATGCAGGAGAAAAGGGAGTAAGGGGGCAGCTTCTCAACCCGTTATGTATTGTTCCCTATAACTGATGATAAGAACCTAATGGGCTCTCTCCCTGTACTGAAAACCACCTGGGGTTTTAGCTCTGAGCGGAAGAAACGAAGAAAAAGGGGAGTGCGAAAATGGGGAGAAAAATATTGAACGATGCCTCGAGAACAATCGTCAATGTCGAAAAGAGAGGATTCGCTTCGGTGGAGCTCAAGCCTGTCTCCAACGTCATGGCTTCCTTCATTCAAATCATGAAACATGTGGGAATAATTTTGGAAATTTTCTTGAAGCTCATTTTTTTTTATATCTAGTTTGTACATAAATATGAATATGTGTACATATTGACATATACGTGCTTCTTCAGAAGATGAATTATAGAGAAATGGGTTGGAGTTATTTGTTTATGATTTTTCCAGGAAGTTTGATTTTTACATGTTACTAAAGATGGACAATGAAGAAGTGTGAGCTGATGGATAAATGGCAGGGTATATTGAGGATTTCGAAGTTCATGACCCACAAAGAGCGTGAAGGATAACTGTGGAGCTTCTTGGGATGATTAATAATTGTCGTGCTATTACTTATAGACAGGATATCAAGGCTCCTAATATCAAGAATTACAAAACAGACACTCTTCCTACTGATCAGGTTATCTGTTTATTGTTCTTATTTTTTGTTTTATTATGCTGCTTTGGTTTCATTGGTACTGAACAGGGATGGGGGAATATAAACACCGGTGAGTGTAGTATGGAAAACTTGGAGCAAAAAAATTCAAGCGGTGATGGTGGCGGCACCGACTCCTCATCGTTGTTGATCCTAGACGTCACAGCAGCGTTCTTCAGCCTCTGAATAAAAATATGAAAGAAATTAGCTTCTGCTGGGAACAGCCTTCTTGAGCCTCTGGATTCTCTCGATGTACAGGCATTTGCTTGACGTGAGCCTCAACAAAAATCTTTTCAATTCGTGGATCGACAAAAGTGCTTGATTACTTATTCCTATTAAAGAAATCAGTTTCTTGGATTAATTATTATTGTTACAATGTTGTTATGCTTAATCATTTTTTGTACTGTAAATTTGAGTTGAAGATGGTAGCGATGGTGGTGTAGTGGAGGTGATGGTGGTAATGACTGGTGGTGGATTCTGGTGCTTATTCGTGGTGTAAGCAGATTTGTTTGTGGTGACCATTTGTGACCAAATTAGTGTTCAATGTGACTGTTTGTGATCAATTTTGTGCTAACTGTGACCGAATGTGACTTGAAATTTCAAGTCACTTTCGGTCACAATTAGCACAAAATTGGTCACAACTAGTCACACTGAACACTAATTTGATCACAACTAGTCACACTGAACACTAATTTTTTTAGGAGGTGGAGGTAGTGGTGGGGTGGTGGTAGGTGGATCCATGGGTTGGGGGTGTGATTTCCAATTTTTAATTTTCTGGAAATTTTGAAATCGTCGGAACGACCGCCGAAATAGTCACCGGAGCGGCCATCGAGTGGTCGCCGGAACAGTGGTCGGACCGTCGCCGGGTGCCGGAGATGGAGTGAAGGTGGTGAATGGGGTGATGGTGTGGGTGAGGTGTAACGTAAGGCATGTATTTTATATTCACTTCCACTCATTTGTGATATTTTCTATTTCATTTTCCTTTGAATGTGACTATAAAGTTTTGCAGGTACCACACACAACTTTCCTTCTCACGCATGCGTGCTTCTTGTTTTACCACGTTTCATCAAATATGACACTTTGTAGGCTTCAACATTCTATTGATCACTTGCCAGAGAAGACACAATGGCCTTTTAAGGGTGCCTGGATTCTAGCTTTTTCATATTTTATAGCATATCTTGAGACCTTTGCTATTTCAAACGTAAGTAGTGAAGATATTCTGAAAAAAAGAATTCTTTATATCCATGTGCCATTATCGATAATATGTTCGTCTGAGACAATTTCAGCAGATGACTTGCATAATATGAGGCTTATCTTTTGTTTTGGTCTTGTGCAGTTCCCCTATTTCGAGTTTGTGGACCGGGCTTCCATGTATAAAGTTGGATCCTTGTTTTATGCAATTTATTTTATGGTATGTTTTTAAGGTATGTAACTATATCCAGACAATCCACCACCACACCCGTACCCCACCACAAAAAATAAAGGAGATATCTATTCGTGCATTTGTCATATGTTGTGTTATACTAATTCAAGCATAATGCACGGGTATTTGCTATAGGCATAACTTCGGGTGATAGAGATAACACCATAACAGTGCCTTTTTGTGTTATTCTTGTTGAAACTGAGCATATATTCACAAAATAATGAGATTCAAAACAATAAATTAACATTAATAAGAGGGAAAGAAAAAATGTTGGGATTGGCCATATTTAGGATCTGATGTACAAGATAATTTCGGAATATGTATTTTTTGGGGCTTCTGATTGGTTTTTTATTTTTTATTTTATTTTAGGGGACGTGAAGAAGTTATTGTAAAACATGATTGAGACATAGAAGTTAATCAAAAGATTTTCTGTAGGATGAATAATGTAGGATTCGACAATTGCATTATATATGAATCAAGTTAAAACCACCTCTAAGCACAGGTGGTGGAGTAAAAAATCCTTGCTTTCATATCAATAAATAGATAAGAAAAATTAAAATCTTTAGAAGTACTGTGTATTTGAAAGATAAGCTTGCATTTAATGATTGCATTGCTCATGAAAACTATCTTCTTTTATTGCTGGCATTTGCAATTATATACAAATTAGTGTGCCGCTAGAGTTCTTTTTCTCGCGTTAACAAGAAATTCCTAGATGAAAAGAATCGTATATTTGATCGAAATGTGATTAATCCCAACTAAAAGGATTTATCTTGTATTGTGGCTACATGTTCTAGCCCGTCTACCTCCACTTTTTGTGAGATTAAAATCCTCTTTTTTACTATTGCAAAGTGGGTGTGGGTCCCAGTTCGAGAATTGTGCGAGAAGCAAGTCAAAAAAGGGCAGCTGTGGGCCCATTTGGAAGTGGCAATGGTCTATAGATTGATATAAATCTTGTTGAAAATCAAGAACAAGAGTCTAATGACATGTTTGGTAAGATGAATTGAACAACACTGGACTGGATTATGTAAGAAAAAAGTTTGACACTATATCCATTATACTATCTAGTTTTGTCCAGTTGTGTATCAGATATGCCTTGATGCAATGATGCTATTGCTGTTTTACTGATGGTAGTTGTTTTCAATGCATAGGATTGATGAGAAACTAGATAAACAATGGGACTTGGCCCGAGTGGCCATAGATGCTTTAGGTGTTGCAATGCTCGTCACTATTATACTCGACTGGTGGCGCATTTTTCTCGGCCCTATTGTCCCTATTCCAGATTCCAAGCAATGCCTTCAACCCGGATTGCCATGGTTTCCCAGAAATGCCTGAGTTGATTCCACTCGCCCGTATGATCCAGTAGAAATGGAAGTTTACATCTCTTCCCTGATTTCAGATGCATATCGTTTGCTTCTTGTTGTAACTTTAGTCGAACATCCCCATCAGCATAGATGACCAATCTAAATGTATCCTTTGTGCAATTTTTTAACATGGTACAAGACATGATTTATCACCCTAATGAACAAGATTTTAGTTACGAAAATACTATTTGGCGTTAGATGCAGCATGGGACATCAGATTTGCTACAGGATAGAATTGACTTCTTTTCAGCAGATTTTGTTTTTCCGACAAAGGCAACTTGACTTCATGCTAATTTTAGTCTCTCATTCCTCTAATGCAACGGCAATTCCTAAAATAGTCTTCAAAGCATGTCTCAAAAAAGAGTACAGTGCTTTTGAAACATCCGGAGTGTGTTTGGGATAAGATACAGAACACAAGTCTTCAAAATTACAGAACACGAGTCTTCAAAATTTCATCAAATATGACTCACCATCAAGAAAATAAGTCTTAAATAAATACTGTTACTTTAAATGAATGTTATGTTAAAAGGAAGAACGAAACAAAATTGTTCTCACAAGAAAAAAAGTCATAATCGTAGGAAAAAGAATATTTTCAGTCATCAGTTAAACATTCTTGCTGGGTTTCCCTGTAATATGTAATTATAAATACTTGGCCAACCAAGGTAGCTCCTCGCTATCTTTGAGTGCAAAAATCACATCATCACTGTCATCAACAACAATAATAATCAGAATTAGTACGTGTTCATCGATGAGAACAAAAGTATTCTACATCTGCCATGCATAGGAAATGAACTCAAATTCCGATACCAGCACGCCCTTCCCCCTCAACAACAGAGAAAAATTTTCACATACAACAATGAATTGTTAATTACACCGACCTTGGAAAATTGAGTTGCAATTTCTGCAATTTGTGCTGTGCAGCCGGCTCACACAGTAATATCCTGCACTCTCCAAGCTTGCATCTGGCCATTAAAAAATAAAGAAACTAACACAATTTATTACTAAGTACTTGAAGTTCTGAACCATTTAAAGTAGATATCATCTGTTTGATTGGAAGCTTATATTTATATCAAAATAATATGGTATCATTAGAATTAATGCACTAAATGCTTGATTGCGTAGGACCACGATATTTTTGTTTGAAGACCATCAGTTCTAAAGTCAGAATAAAAAAATTCAATATAAGCTATAAACACAACCAGGAGTGGGAGAAGAGTCTATAATGCTGCTTAAATGAACAGTAGAAAATGTTATGGATATCTAATGTAGTTTTACCCGACTTTCAGTAGTATGTCGTATCCTGGAAATGTTTCCCCGTTGCTTGTGCAGAAACATGAAACGGTCATTGCCAACTGCATGAAAAGAAGCATCCTTTAGACAAAATTGCAGTGTTTCCAATCATTCCAACACCCCCGATCTAACTGGATTAGAAGTTAAGTGGAAAGTTTTCTTTTCTTTTTTGGGAGGGGAGAGGGCAGAAGGCGGTTTGTTCGATTAGATTACACTCCAATCCACGATAGCATGCACAATATGAAAGATGCTTGTTCATATCCAAAAGCCGCAAGAAAAGCTCAAGCAAGTAGACCTTTTCAAAAGTGGTTTCACCCATCCCTGTCTTATAAAGTTCATGCACCATAGCAGCCAAGAAGATTTTACTCAGTTTAGAACTACTCCTGATCACCTGGGAAACAAAAAAGCAGTGTAATTATTTCTTGTAAAGCATCATTGAGGTTTTACACGGATCCAAGAAATCAGATAAAAAAATTTAAATATAGGTATGGTAGAATTTGTCATGGAAAAAAATGTTAATTGGATCCTTATATATAGCAAAAAGTACCAGGATTAGACCGTGGAAGAGTAAGAAAATTCTCAAACTCACTTGAATATGAGGAGCCTGGAACATCTCTTTTATGGCCACTTCAACATCTCCCATACCAACAAGAGCCTTCCCTGAATAAGAAGCAAAATGAAAGCCTGTCAACCCAGCAGAACTATCTTCAGAAACAAGACATGGTATAATGATGCTGGCTGCACTCTTAAAATATCGAGTAGGGAGAGACAAATTTGGGGAAAGCAAGGAAATAAATGCCTGAGCTTTTAAAATTGCAAAGTAAAAAGAAAAGGTTATTTCTGAACCTCACAATCAGATTAAAATAATTGGGGATGTTATGAATGCCGCGTGTCAAATTTTTATGCAGTTATTAAAAATAAGGGAATAAATTATTTCGGGAATTATATTCAACCAACTCCAATCCTTTTACCCCATTAAAATCTTAGAATATTTCATAAAGCCTTAGTCATTTTGTTATTTATTTTCCCGGAACATCTTAGATGGGTGAATTGAAATGGCAAGAAAATATTGGATCATCAATTTGGTAGACACCTTATTGGTTCCGATCCCTGCCATGTTCCTCGGACTATCCACAATTAGTATTCAGGCTCTTATTTTTAGCTGTGGCTTATATAGGTGAATCCACGAGGGGCCACCATCAGAAGTCTCATTTTATCGTTGAGTACAAAGCAATACATGCGTGACACAAGATAATTTACTTAAGGAATATAAGTATACAAGAATGCTATACATCATATAGAGTGAAACAAAAAATGAAAAATGAAGGGAGTTGGAAAAAGAAATGAGAGAGAGATAAAAAGATCTTTAGTTGGATGTGATTTTACGAACTGTAGCATCTGGTTATGGTCTTCCTCGGCCTGAAGTATCTCGACCATACTGCTATAACTATAGAATTATGAATTCACAATGAAGAAGACTCTCATTGCAGAATGAGATTAGAAGCTATATTGAACTTAATTCCTTTCTCAAATAGAGTAATTCATGGCACAGAAAAGGTCTCCACAAGATTTCCAATTAAAAGAAGCTGGAGTACCAGGAAAATAGCTGTGCTATTAGAAGATGTTTCTATGAAAGTAACTATTCAATGATATATTGCAAGGCTTAGTAGCACACATTGCACCCATTACACTGCTGATCTAAAAAACTACAGCTGCTTTACCAAAGCAGAATCAATTAGAACTAAACAGGTAATATTACAATTCTGATGCAAGATTCATAGTGAATTTACATGCTAAATGCTTTGGCACATTATGCTCCATTGGAGCCAACTCGTCCTGAATTCAACAGGGAATGTTGGAAGATCAAATCCTCATTTATATGATACAATAATCCTCGAGAATCACTAAAATTTGATGCCCTCTAAGTCATTCATCTAAGTTTCTAGAGTGAATTGTCCATACTTCCTTTCAGCTGTGCAAGCCAATGATGGAAATCTTCAGAAGGACTAGATAGACAAGGTAGAGATTACACTTCATTCAATAACCTGTTTTCCCGTGCAAGAACATGCAGGTTTTATCTCCAAAGACACATCGCAGTTACAAAGAGAAGTTATCATCTTCAATAATCTTAGAGCATGTTTGGAAAGTGTTTATAAACGGTTTAAATTATAAATATACATAGAAATGAGTTGTGGATAAATGTGTAGTACTTGTGGTCGTGGGTCCCATGAAATGTGTGGATAAAAAATGATTTGATCGATTATAAATAGTTTATAAACATTAGCCAAACATGGGCTTAGTTAGAAACCATGAGAAATTACGACCATGGAGCAGTAGTTATATACATTCTACTAGTGAATTACAGTACTCCAATCACACAGCCAGCCAAAGAATGTCTTGCCTGTGGCTGCAGAGTCAGAAAGTGATGGTGATCTTTTAGAACGATAATCTGCAAGCTCTGCAGCTCGTCTACATATCTCCAATGCACGGCGAGCAAATCCAGAAACAGCTGCAACCTGAATTCAAACACAAGTAGATATCAATGAAAGCCCTTTTTGTGTATCAAGTTCAGTGGGAAAGAAAAGAGTGATGTTAAAAATGTTATGAAATGAATAGAAATTGGACTTACCTTCCTTGAAGCAAATTCAATTGCTTGTTTTTCAAAAGCATCAATTCCTCTTAGGCGGCTTAAAATTATTTCTTGAAGCTGCTGGTAGTTATATGGACCAAAGCAAAGTCTTTGTATGCCCATACGACTAGAGATACGCGGAAGTAATTTCTCTGGAAGATCCATGGTGTTTGCTATCCCTGAATATAATTCAGGCAAGAAGAACAACGGAAGCAGGGTCATTAATGAAAACTTGATTGAAATAATCGAAGACAGGAGAAAGCACTTACCTATTACAATCAATTTGGAATTTGGCTTGTTTGGCCAATCAAGGATGTTGTATAGAACCTGTTTAACAAGTTAAAAGGAAAAACTAAGTAAAATGTTATAAGTTATGCTAAACAAATGTATAACTTACCGATTGATTTCTGGTCACAAGAAGATCAAGTTCATCTATGAGGAGGATGCAAGGCCTAATCTCCTCTTTTTTACATTTGGTTTCATGTGAAAATCTCTCATTCAAGCAATGAAGAGCTTTTTTCCAACCAACTCTGTGTCCACTTAATGCTTCGTAAATAACCTGAAGAAAATTAGAGATGTTATAGAGCAAAGTGTGGATGCTTTTAGATACTGCAAATTGAGTAAGTCAGCTTTAATCCCTACAGTGTAAATATTTTCAGGAGAAGTCAATTTTAGACCATTGATCTCCACAAAGCAGTAAGGCTGAATGCTTCCAGCATCCACCTCTGGCCTTAGGTTCCTCATCACAGAAAGAAAGCTCATTGTCTGCAGTTTGATTAGATTAAAAAATACACGAGTTACATTTACTCTGACATAAAATATTATATACAGAGATAGCCAGCAAATGAATGCATTATCCTGTTCATTTCTCGTTGTTAAAGATTTTACCTTGCCAGTACCGGGAACACCATGAATGTATAGGCATCTTCCCAGGCATTGATCATCGCATATAGCCCCTTTAATAAATGCAGTTATCTCATCCATTTCCCTGAATAAAGAACATTTTATTAGATGATTATTCGATAAAATCATTAAATAGAAAGTCTTCAACTCATACGTACTTATCCCTACAAGGTAGAGACTTGGGCAATGTTGCCAGTAGGAGTGTAGCTTTTGCCTTTTCCAGATCAGTCTGCTTGTGACAGCGAACATGCTCTGGTATTTTTTTTGCCCCAATTTTTTGAAGTCCGAATATTAGCCCATTTCTGGAGTTCTGAATATGTAATGTAACAAACAGTTAGTTCCATATGTCAGTCAACCACAAAATCAGGTGTCACAAAATTGATTAGCATACTGCAGCCAATGGATGAGCCAAAGATGGTCCAGTCAATGAACTCTTTTTGTTCTCCTCTTCATACTCCATGTCTTCTTCCGTGTCAGGGTCCGAACCTTCGCATGAATTCCAGTCTTCATCACCATCAGCTTCTTCACCATCCTACCAAATAAGACAAGGACCTATAAATTTCAACTGACAGAATGTAAAGTCTAAGTGGTCGGAAGCATCACTACTCACCTCTTCATTATTTTCAATCTCTGCGATGCGCTTGAAACTACGCCATCGTATATCATACTCATATTCACATAGAAAGACATCATCTCCTTCATTGCCTGCCTTGGCAAACTCTTTTGGGTTCATAACATGGCAATGCCTAATGATAGATTCCATCTACAAAATGAATAGTTTATACATTTAGAGAGTGAGGCAGTTATCATCCCTTAAACACATGCAACTTTGGATTGGGTTTTCATATTTTCCTCTGCTTTCAGAACAAAGGTCTCAGTGTATATATTTCATGAACTTGAATATATCAGTCTCTTTAAACTTCATCTTAAGTGTTTGCTTGGTTGCATTATCATGGAGTCAAAAAGCATATGCATAAAGATGCCTTAGATAATTTCGTAGTTCAAGGCTTTCAGTGTGATATCCCTATCATTGCTACTAGAACAAGAAAGAATAAACAATTATGAATGTCTAATCTTAGTAAGCAAAAAAATAAATTGCTTCTGAATAACATGCTGATTCATTATTTGGCTGCAGTAGAGTCAATAAACAAAGCCCCAAAGATAAAGGGCATGTAAATATTTCAATGAATCAACTACAAATACAATACTAACCAAGAAGAACATATATCACCTCAACATCAGCAAAATCATTTGTTTGATAGAGCTCCCTTCTTAAATTATGAGGCTGTCTCCCTGAAGATGTCTCCTCTGGAATAATATACCACCGTTCATGAAACCAATAAGTACCATCCGCTTCTTTCCATAAACTAAACATTCCCAATAATCACATATGGTAATGAATAAATTTCACAATCAACTCAAAAACTGCAAAATGAATGTGACTCATAAAAAGTACATTAACAGACCTCTCAATATGAGCAGCCCACAAATCGCTGGAAAGCAACTTCTCCCGAGCAGTCCTAACCCTCTTCTTCCCCTTTGGAGGCTTTGGAAATTTCACCATTTCCCCCGATTTTCTCGCAGCGCAAAAATTACAAATCCAATCCCCTTCTGGAACATCCTTTAGTAGTGGCCTCAAACACTTCAAATGAAACCCATTCAAGCAATCATCACACTCAATCATAATCCTCCTCCCAGATGGCTTAAAGCACACCCTACACTCCTCCAACTCGGGATCCTCCTAATCCAAGCTCGCGTCCTCCCTCCTCTTCAAATACACGTCATCTCCTGCCGAAAACTCGACACCATCAAACATCACCTTCTTGTAATACATTCTCTTCTTACTTTTAATAGCATTACCTTTAGCACTCCTCAAGATCCTTTTTTTCTCAAGACCCGTGTCTTGATTTTCGGTATTTTTTCTCTTTTTTTTGGATTCGGTGGGTTCTGGCGAGGTCGGAGAGATGGAAATGGTGAAAGGTGGTGATTTGGGGACATTTTGGTAATTTCTTGGTGGCTTGGCAGTAAAATGTGGCGATTTTTGCAGGGAAGATGGCGGCGGCGGCGGTGGTGGAGGTGAGGCGCATGGAGCGGCTGAGAGAGGAGTTGGGAGTTGAGGGCACTATTAGGTGGTCAGGGGAATAGGTGGGTTGCTTTTGCTTTTGTTTAGGGGTTCTGTTAAAGTTCTTGGAATTCTTGGTCTTTGGTGTATCGGCCATAGTTACAGGGGGTGGCGGAAAGGGTAGCGGTTGTTGGTGTTTACGGCGGCGAGGGGTTGCGAAATCCGAAGGGGAAAACGAGAGGGGCGGGAAGAGCGTTGAATGAAGTGAAATTGGCGGGAAAATTGGCTTCTCTTATAGGAGAGGGGGATCGTAGTCATGACGTTGAAAGTTACTTATAATAAATAATCAAATGAAAAAAATAATTATTTTAAAATTTACTTATCCTCTACATATAAAAAGAGTGAAGGTTTGTTTTACTGTAGAAACTATTTTCTTATCCTACCTTATCCTATAGACGACGCCGTTTTTCATTTATTTGGTATTTCCCCCCTCTCTCTTCATTTCGCCTTCAGTCCAATCCAGCCCCGTCTCTGTTTTCTTCGAATCGAGCTCAAGCCTTCGAAAACCCTAGACGTTCGCCGCTTCCGCCGCTACGTTTGGTTTTGAAGCATAGACCTTCG